AATGTCTGCTCAAGCTATGTCAGAGTAAATCAATCAGACTGAAACAAATTCAACCTAATCAGATAACTAAGTTTTAAATTAGTATGAGTTCACATCTGTTAGTCATAATAAATATATGTAAAAATATGTAAAACATATGTAAAAATATGTAAAATATATCTCAACCTTCCTTTATATGCATCAATTTTGAGCTGTCTAATGGGTATCTCCTACAAGATGCCCACTTGGATATCAAGTATATAACTATTATTTCAAGTCACCTGGTTATCATCTTAGTCTCTTCAGTCTTAAGACAAAATAGCATATCAAACACCCCAAATCTGACAGAAGGAACTGGTCTCTTCTGCATGGCAGACTGAATATAGGAATAGGGTAAGTTGGGTCTTCAATAATAATCCACATGGTGCTAGTGATAACAGTAATATTTAACCAAACATGCTGATTCATGGAAATTAGCCAAAGTATCCTGTTAAAGTGTTCTTTGGGACCAGATTGGCAAAGAATAGGATTTCACTTCAATGACATACTGCTACTGCCAGAGCTCTTGGTACCTGGAGTAAACTCTAGGTGGATTATAATTCTAATGGTTCCAAAAAGAGAGATTGAGTAATTTTTCACTTTCAGAGACCCTAAAGCATAATAACTCAGTGCTACAAGTACCTTTTGTAATAGAAGTGATAGATTTTAAACTTATCTCTAGGTCAGTCCCCTTAACATATCAGTGACTCAGTTTCCTTATTTGTACAACAGCAAGCTACCTGGCAAGGCAGAATGCCAAAGATATCTAATAAAAGTCTGTTTTAAGATTTTCATTTATTTGTCAGAGAGAGAGCGAGCGAGCACAAGCAGGGGGAGCAGCAGGCAGAGGGAGAAGCAGGCTCCCCACTGAGCAAGGAGCCCGATGCGGGACTCTATCCCAAGACCCTGGGATCATGACCCAAGACGAAGGCAGATGCTTAACCAACTGAGCCAGCCGGGCATCCGTCTATTAAACATTTTTTAACAAAAATTTTAAATGTGTCAAATTGATAAACTGAAAGAAAATGGTAGCCTGGTTCTTAAAAAATACTATAGTAAAAAAAATGTTGGGGCACCTGGGTGGCTCAGTCTTTAAACATCTGCCTTCAGCTCAGGTCATGATCTCAGGGTCCTGGGATCGAGCCCCGCATCAGGCTCCCTGCTCGGCCAGGAGCCTGCTTCTCCCTCTCCCACTCCCCCTGCTTGTGTTCCCTCTCTAGCTGTCTCTCTCTCTCTGTCAAATAAAATAAAATCTTAAAAAAAAAATCTCTGTAGATACAAGATCAGCATGTAACATTCAGACTCACAATAGTTACGAATTCAGAATAAGGAAAACCCTTTGGTAAGCTGAAGTAATCAATGAAGTTTTAATGAAAGAATGAGGGAATTTTGAGACACAAGCTGGGCTGTGAAAGGCAGGTGAGATTTATAAAGGAGAAACACAAGGTGGATATTTCAAATTTGGTGAAGATGTTCAGTGTGGGTGGCAAGAAGGTGAGGCAATGGAGTGGCAGGAGGAAACTGAAGTGCAGAGAAATATGCCTAGTAAATAGATGAACTAGTAAATGGATGAGTAGATGAGCTGCAACTGGAATCCAGGTCTCTAAACATCAACCACTCTGTTCCTCCTAACTGGTCTTCCTGCCTCCATTCTGGCACCCCTCTCCAAGAAATTCACCATTGTATCAATTAAATCAAAACATGATTTATTCATTTAAAAAACCAAACCAAATATCCAGGAAGTTATACAATAACCAAAAAATTAACTTCTGTTACATCAAGTTACTAATTTGACTCCACTATCTAAAGAACAAAAGGCTTCAGGAATGATACAGAAACACAAAATCAAAATGCAAAAACATGTGAGGGGTGTTAGTTCTACCTTAACAATGGCCTCTTTTAATGGTCAAGCCCTTGCCTTAAATATGTGGGATTCAAGATGCAGCTCCTTCATAATACTTCTAGAGCTCTACTAGATTTGACAAAATACACTCCATGATTGACACCAAATTACTAATTAATCTAAGCTTCATGCTGCTTGATGACATGCTACAATCTGGGCCTAACCAAAGAGTTACATAAAATACAAAGCTTTACTACTAATGCATTATTCAAAATGTGAGAAGAAGTTCAAGAGAAGACTGCCTTCAGTAAAAAGAATCAAAAAGGGTCATTATGAGAATTCACAGATGAAGAAAATTAAACTAAGTTCTGTTAAATTTTGATTTAGTCTTAAACAGAAGTCATTAAAGTCTTGAAATGTCACTTTGAAAAATATTATAATACCCATCAAAAAAAAATTCTAATACCCATCAAAAGGTTGAGATATAAATTAGAGTAGTTCCTCTCAACAGAAAACATACATTCCTTCTCCAGTTTTCCAGAACAATGAGGAACTAAATGAAAACTGAATCACAAGCCTTATACTGTAATGAATCCACTATAAGTATTGTTACTTTTTCTATGTAATGGAAACTTTCATCTTAGCTAATACTATATATAGACATTATCTAATTATCTTTTTACTCCCAGATGAATAATATTCAATATCAATCATTTGTGTGATCAGTACTATTTTCCTTCTCCCTTCATCACTGACCTCCTCCCCTCCCTAGTAACTTGGAGTGGAATCAACTGGCATTTCCTTTACCCTCTCTCTTTGGTAACCTAATAGTTCTTAGGCTTCTATCGGTGACAGGTGCCTATGAGAAACTGATGAAAACTATGAGACCCAGAAAAATGAATGTACCTACATACACTCAAATTTTTCATACAATTTCAGGAGTTTAAGAACCCCTATCCCCCACAATCACCTACACAAATAATTTCTAAGATCATATAGCTCTCTTTTATAATCTCACAAAACTCCTTTATATACATATACAATTAAGAACTATTACAGTGATTAATGACATAATACTCAAAATAATAAAATTAAGTCTAGATAAAGCTTTATTTTACTGGCAATATTTTAAGTTAAGAACCGCAGATGAACTCCATCCTAAAAAGCCTTAGAAGAACATGTTGAGCACTTCAATAAGGCAACTTAAAATAATGAGTAAGGCGTTTATTTAAAAAAAAAAAAAAGTCTACCAAGTCTTGTTGTTTGGTCAACTTGCTTGCCTTAAAATGTGCTGAAATGTCTTCCTAAATTTTTTATTAACTCTGACACATCTGCTTGTAAAATCATGTAAGGCTCCGAAGTTAATCTGAGCAAAAAAGAAAGTTCCAATTGATAGTAACAAACTCTTGGATTCAAATACGTGTTCTACTATATCAAGCTATGTTCAACACTGAACGCCGTTAGCTAGTAAGTGAAAGTGATACCATCTCATAACGATCTAGTTACCTCGTCAAAGCAAGTAAAACATAAAAGATGAAACAGGACAAATACCAAAGGGAAAGGAAGAATATAATCAAACTGTTATTACCAACAGAGATAAGTGCTTTCTTGAAAGTGTAGTTCCTAAAAGTAGAAGCTTCTTGCTGGATGTACCAAACTATTCATGGACACTGAGTTCACTTTTACTTTTGCTGAAACTTTTAATCATTGTTTAAATCACAGTTTTGTACTGGGTCAAAATAAAAAAAAGGAAATATTTACCACAACTGATAAATTTCAAAATCATATCAGAATTTTTAAATATATTAAACTTTGGTGATACACTCACAAAACTTAAGTTTCATGATGCTGGGGGCACCTATTAAACCCATTAACCCTCTGCCAGCAAAGACAATTCACAAAAAACAGTTTCTTCATTTGTAAATACTAGGTTAACAGGACATATCAAGTAAGCAAGTTCTCAATTTGCCTCAAGTTAGGGTGGAATTGATGAGACTTTAAACTGTTCATTTTATTCTACCCCACTAAGTCCCTTCCCTACACAATGGAAATCTGTGTATTTCATGAAATAATACTTTGACCAGTAAGGACAATCCATAATTGAAAGGCAAACTGAAAGAGAGAAGTGCAACAGGTACATACCAAATGATCAGATGCCATAAGAAAAGGCTTTAGTAATGTCACTAGTCTCCTCCCCTATCACAAACAAGTTGCTGGTTAAAACTGAAAACTAAATGTGCAACATGTGCTTGTACTTCAGAGTCAGAGGAAGAACCTTCAAACAGGATTTATTTGCTGAATCTGTGCAGGAAAACTATTTTCCCTCATGCCACCCAAATTATAAACGTTTATTGATAAACGTCTGCATATTTGCCATGGTTGGGAAAAATAGACTGCAGTCAATATATTTTGTTAATGCTACCAGTTTTTAAATTTCACTATTAAGCCATTTTCATATAAACTAAAAAAAAAAGAGGAACCCTTTTAACTGATGAGTTGAGGAAACTCCAGTATTTCCCAACCTAATACCAGGCCCCATAGATTACATTCCTCGGCACATTAAGTCAGTGGCAGGAAATGGACTGCTACCATTGGTTCACACACTTTCAGGGCAATGAAACTTGTGCAGTCTTAGGGCTTTTGAGCGTTCTTAATCAACTAAGTGGAAGTACTGTAATGACTCTATTATATACACAACAGTTGGTGGTACCTCACCCAGCCTCGAACTCCCACGCTCCCCCCACTTTTACAAATGTTTCTTGGGTGAGCACAGGGAAGAGGCAACGGGAAAAAGCGCACGTAGGCGACTCTTCCTTAGATTTCTGGTAAAGTACAAAGACTAGGAGCCTACGCTTTGTGTTTTTAAGGGTGAGGCTGGTTTGTAAGTCTGTGGGTGGGCTCCCAAGTATCTGGGTTGAAAAGAAAAGAGGTTCCCCTACCCGGACACTTAAGTATTAAGAGTCAAAACCCAGCAACTGACTGAGGTGGGAAAGAAAGGAATCGCGGGAATATTCGTGCCCACAAGTTAGACAAACAACAGACCCTACCCAGGAACTCGGAGTCTCCCCAAGTTGGGGTGGGGCCTTTCTCCTTTCCGCACTGCCTCGCGGAATGGTAAGAGTGAGAAAGGGGTTAAATGGAGAAGGGGGTGCTCTTCCGCCCCCACGCCGTCTCCGCGCCTCGGCGTGGCCGCTCCTTGAGCGGCTCCCGGAGTAGCACAGCCAGATCGCGGTTAGCCTTGGGAGGGGGCCCCGGGTTCCCCCGTGCGCAACAGCCGGAGGATCCCGGGGCTCTCGATGTCCCCAAGGCCGGCGGGGACTGCGGGAGCACTCACCAGTTTGGGTTTGTTTTTCGTTTCCTCTTCGTTGGCGGCCCGGTTCCCCGCGCTCCGCTTGTTGCTCCGGCCCCCACCGGGTTCCTCGCTGCCGCCTCCCGCTCCCGACGCCGCCGCCCCGGGCTGCTCCATCTTTCTCTGGCCTTATCACCTGTGACCTGTAACCCCACCTCTCCTCAACTTGGGGAAGCCCCTCGGGGTGGTCCCGCTGCCCCAGCTGATTCGGTATCACCTCTTCCTGGTGAGAGTGTGTCTGCCTGGGAGCTGCCGATTTCAGGCTCCCGGCTCCCAGGCACCCCCGACGCAACACGCCTTTGCCACTACTCGGCGCTGGGGCAAGCCCTGCCCCTGAGCAGCTGCAATTACCGCGGTCGCTGGCGCCGCCGCCCTCAGGGCGGTGTTTAAGGGTGGAGGGAAAGTAGGTGCCTATCTCTTTAAGAGGGCCTCGACACACGTGATTCATCAAAGTACCCGCAGTCAGCCGCCTGGGCGCGGAAAGCTGCTTCCTACTCCCAGTGCCGAGCGGGCCTCAGCTACTGAGCATGCCCAGCGCAGCGACGGGCGCCAGAGGATAGGAGAGGACTTTAAGCTGCGGTTAAGCACTGATTTCACTTCCTAGGGGCTCAGCGTGAAATGGAAGGGAACTAGCCAAGAGAAAGGAGGTGTAGCCCATTTTAGAGATGGGGAAACTGAGGCCCGGAAGGACTCAAGTATGAGTTTAACTGGCAGGTGTACCTGAGTATCCGCTTCCCCTAGTGTAGGCCAGAGCACCTTCCCCACGGACGCCTTGCTGGGGGTGTGGTCCTGCTAGGCTCTGTGGGAGGGGTAGATTGGCAAGACAGCTGGCATCGTATAGGAAAACTACCATTGGGAGCACTGATTAATTGCCTAGACAGACTGTATGGGTCAAAGTGGACAGAAGGGGGTGCTTTGTATTGCCATGATTGCTTTGAGATCAAAGAAATACAGTCGTTCCTTTATTCCCATGCTGCTGGGTAGTAGAAGCAGCAGGCATCCACTACCTAATCTTGGAGGAAGGGGGAGCAGTTTAAGGCTCTTTAACTAAAACACCTATAGAGAGCTAGCAATTGGATTGAGTGCTATTTTCAGTTTCTGGGACTAGTTTAGGTTTAGGGTTGTTGTGGGGAGTAAGATCATGTGTGTCAAAGCTTTGTTTAAAACGTAAATCTCTACACAAATGCTAGGTGTTTTTGTGCAGCAGCAGCAGGGTACTGTAAGCATCGTTAGTCTTTAGTGCTTGTCTTGTCAGGAAGAGGCCCAGGCTATATTTCTAACATCTTTTTTAAACAGGGCCCTCTAAAAATAGTGTTCACACTGAGACCATTGCAGGGGCAGAGCAGGATTTGAATGAACCACCATCATAGAATAAGAGCACATATGCTAGTGAAGCCTGAAGTGTAGCCTCAGATACTAAGTCTACTAACATGTCCATATGTCTGTTACTCAGATATCTTCAGGCTATGACTTCTTTTGCCCTCCCCTTCAACCTAAATTCAACTATGGCAAATCTAATTTGTTTATGAGCATATTTATTGGGAGTGCACTACAATAAATTTGACCATGCTATAGATATGATGAGGCAATTAACTGGGACAGTAGAGTGAAAAAAACATAATATTATCTAAAAACAGTTTTAATCCTGGCTGTCATTATCATTAACTTTCTTTTTAATCATGCAGGTGGTAAACTACCCAAAACAACACAGAAGAGAAAATCCATGCTCCCAGACAGGGTGGACAAGGAGCCCTAAGGTAAATTTGCTTTGTCTAAGTTTCTATCTTAAAATTTGATGTATATTTTGAACTCAACTCACTATATGCACACAAACACATATGTGATTTAACTTAAATGTTTCCCCTCCTGAAAAATTGAGTAAAAATGCATGCTACAGAAAGACATGACCTGTTTACCCAATGCTTTCATCCAATTCCTGTTTAAGAGATGTGGATATGGGTGAGAATCCTCCAAGCTCAAACATGGATCAATAATCTGCTGCATGGGTATTTATTAAGCTCCTTAGAGTATACCAGGTGCTATACAGAGTGTTCTGGGTTAGAAGAATGAAGTGGACACACTTTCTGCCGTTTAGAACTTCATAGTCTACTGGGAGAGACAGACGATTAAAGAACTGCACTTCAGGACAACAGATATGAACAGGGAGCTCATAGAGCACATGAGGGAGGTAAACCACCAGAATGTCAAGGTTCCAAGACACCTTCCCAAAGAGAATGATATTTGAGCTAAGTCTTAAAGGTATAATTAAAGTTAGTATTTGTTGATAGCCTACTAAATATTAGGTACTGTGCTAGGCATTGTGGATACAATAGTGAACAAGACAGATATAGCTTGCTCTTATAGGGTTTTCAGGCTATTGGAAAGCATATTAAAACTGTGTTGAGCAATTACAAGGCAAAGAAAGAGGGGGAAGAGCATTTCAGGCAAGGGAAATGACAATAGCATGTGCAGAGACCCTATGGTTAAGAAATTGAGGGCATCTGGGGGGAGAAGGCTTCTGTTGCCAAGAGAAAAAGTGGAACAGATAAGCAGTTTCCAGATCATGAAGGACTTTTAGGTCTCATTAGTGTGGTTTTAAAAGGGAGAAGGCATTATAATACAAATGGCCTGTTTGGAGTATGTAAATAAACTTGAAAATGGTTTGACATTATTTGAATATAAGGTTGGGTTTCACTATCCTCAGGCCAAGTGAAGCTACATTTGAAATCCAGTTAGTTAAAGGTATGTGTAAAAGGTGCATAATCTTTACTGCAAAAAGTGAAAAAAATCTCTTCCTGATATGGCTTACATTTGACTTTACTGTGATTACCTCGGCCCCATCTTAATTCTTGATGTTTGTTTTTTAGCATTTTGCTTCAGGTAATGTAAACAGTAATTAAACAACACCCTTCCTTCCTACATCAAGGTCATTGGTCTCTCTTGGAAACTAATATATGAAAGAAACCACTACTGTCCTGCAAGGATTTGTCCACTGATTATGAACCAGGCACCTCACCAAGTACAGTCTTAGGGCTGATCTCACTGCACATACATTCCTTTGTTTTTACCTTCCTGGGACACACAGATAGCTTGGTGGATGGAGAGATCTCTTTTCTCTCATGCTGAAAAAAGAAGGAGGCTACTAACATCAGTCGAGATATCAAAAGTTTATGTTAGACCCGCTGACCTTGTAGTCTCTCCCTCTGGCTTCTCATGAGTTTAGCATCCAGTTAACATTAAAAACTGAGCCCTAGGCGAAAAGAAAGATAAAAGGCTGCTAGGTTCTGTCTTTCTTCAAATTGACCTTAGAGTCATTTGTTACCCCAGAGGTTTCTGATGAGCCTCATATTATCCCTCTTGTTTTCTGTGTCTCCCTTCTGCTGAATGTTCTCTTCTAAACGATCTGGGTCATTAATAAAGAAATGAAAGGAAACGTGGATTAGACAGAAATGAGAACCCCCTTTAGGGTCATGGAAAAACATTTGTGATATAAAATTTGCCTAAGAGTAAAGTTATTTTAGTAAGTTATTTATTAAGCATATACTGTGTGCCAACACCAAAATAGATGTACAGAAAAAAAATACCAGACATTCTGCTATAATGTTACATATGTCTTCCTGAAGAATCTCCTGTTCTATAGAATTGCACACTGGGAAAAACAGGGATTCTAGGGAAACATGGTTAGGGAAGATCACTTAAATCCAGTGCAACTTTATAATCAGAGCACTAACAAAAACAAGTAAAATTTAACAAGGTTAAATCTCCACTGGCATTTGCTCCATCATCACAACCCTCAATGCTTGGTAGCCTTCATGCTTCTTCCTTCCTGATGTGGATCCTCAAGGGCATTAACTTTTAATAGATATTATCTTTATCAGAATTAAAAATCTAATTGAGGGGTGCCTGGGTGGCACAGTCAGTTAAGCCTCCGACTCTTGGTTTCGGCTCAGGTCTAGATCTCATGGTCCTGAGATCCAGCCATGTGTTGGGCTCAGCAGGGAGTCTGCTGGAGATTCTCTCTCTCTCCCTCTCCCTCTGCCCCCCAACTTGTGCTCTCTCTTTCTCTCTCTCTAATAAATAAATAGATCTTTTTAAAAAAATCTAAAGAGTACCCAACTTGTTAAAATCTGTGGTAAAATGTCTTCACAGCTTCACTACCAGTAGTCACAGCTTCACCAGATAGTTTAATGTAAGGAACTTAGAGGTTGTTGAAGCCACTATACCAGTCATACTGAAGGGGCAGAGTCTGGTGCAAGATTCTTCTTTTTTTCTTAAAGTCTTCATATATTGCTAGGATTTATGCTTAATTGTGAGAAAGCTTGCTCCTCATCACCTCAAAATTTAAAGTGCTAAGAAAATTCACATGTGAACCAACTGGACTTCCACATAATTCTTCTATTTACCAATTGCTAATGTGCTGTTTGTGGTACACAAACACTTGTAATAAAACATACTGTGAAATGGAAAATCCCTGCCATTAATAGCTATAAAATCTACTATAAAACAACAAATTTGTGAAACGGTAAGAGAAAATCAGCTGCCTAAATTGGAGGTACTGACTCTAAATTCAACATAACATGGTAAAGGGGTGAGATTGGTTGGACCTAGAATAGATGAAGAAGTTCTCAAGGAGAAGGTAGAACTTGAGCTGCTGAGGTATGAAGCAGAAATCAGATGTGAATAGGCAAAGCTAAGAAAGGAAGTAAGGAAAAGACAACATATAGAATGGTATGGAAACAATACTGACCAATGATGTTGAGGGGCCAGTGGGGCTTGAGTAGAATGCTAAGAACATAGATGTTGAATAACAGTAGGAAACATGGTTGTCCTACTAGCATTTTCCCAGAATGTAAACAGATTTGAATGTAAGACATAGTGGTAGTAATGCCTAAAGATCTTTAGCAGGAATGTTATAAAATAAAGAAGTAAGGAGCTGGTCTGGCAGTGGCATGCAGAATAACTTTTTTTTTCTTTTTTTAAATTTAAATTCAAAAGTATAGTATTGGTTTCAGGAGTAAAATTTAGTGATTCATCACTTACATACAACACCCAGTGCTCATCCCAACAAGTTGCCTTCCTTAATGCCCATCACCCATTTATCACATCCCTCTACCCATCTCCCCTCCATCTACCCTCAGTTTGTTCTCAATAGTTAAGAGTTTGCCTCCCTCTCTGTTTTGAACTTATTTTATTCTCCCTTCCCTAACCCTAACCCTTCCCCTATGTTCATCTGTTTTGTTTCTTAAATTCCACATATGAGTGAAATCATATGGTATTTGTCTTTCTCTGACTGACTTACTTCACTTAGCATAATGCACTCTAGTTCCATCCACATCATAGCAAATGACAAGATTTCATTCTTTTTTATGGCTGAGTAATTTTCCATCATATGAATATATATATTCTTATAATGGTGTATATATACCACAGCTTCTCTATCCATTCTTCAATCTGTGGACACATGGGCTGTTTTTGTAATTTGGCTGTTGTTGATAATGCTGCCATAAACATCAGAGTGCATATATCCCTTCGAATTAGTGTTTTTGTGTTCTTTGGGTAATTATCTATTAGTGCAATTGCTGGATCACTGGGTAGTTCTGTTTTTAACTTTTTGAGGAAACTCCATACTGTTTTTCAGAGTGGCTGCACCAGTTTGCATTCAAACCAACAGTGTAAACGGGTTCCCGTTTCTCTGCATCCTTGCCAATACCTGTTCTTTCTTGTGTTGTTGATTTTAGCCATTCTGACAGGTGTAAGGTGATATCTCATTGTAGTTTTGATTCATATTACCCTGATGATCAGTGATGCTGAGCATCTTTTCATGTGTCTGTTGGCCATCTGTATGTCTTTGGAAAAATGTTCATGTCTTCTGCCCATTTTTAACTGGATTATTTGGTTTTTGGGTGTTGGGGTTTTTTTTAATTTTTTAAGTAAACTTGCCACACATGGGGGTTGAACTCACAATGGGTGCTGAGTTCAGTAAGTTCTTTATAGATGTTGTATACTAACCCTTTATCAGATATGTTATTTGCAAATATCTTCTCCCATTCTGTAGGTTGCCCTTTAGTTTTGTTGATTTTTTCCTTCACTGTGCAGAAGCTTTTTATTTTGATGAAATAAGTCAGTCAGAGAAAAACAAGAACCATATGATTTCACTTATATGTGGAATCTAAGAAACAAAAGAAAGGAGCAACAGGGGAAAAAAGAGAGGCAAACCAAGAAACAGACTTAACTAGAAAGAACAAACTGTTACTGGAAGGGAAGTGGGGGGATGGATTAAGGATTAAGGATTGCACTTGTGATGAGCACCAGTTGTTGTGTGGAAGTGTTGAATCACTGTATTGTACACCTGAAACTAATATTACACTGTGTTAACTAACTAGAATTTAAATAAAAACTTAAAAAAATAAAGGAACAAACTGTTTCTCTCCACAGATTATATACAGGAGACAACGGAAAAGAAAGAATAGACAAGAATTACTAAAATGTTGGCCCAAGGACATAAAAACCTAGTAGCAAACTGGGAGATAGTATCTCAAGGTATTTGTCATTTGCAGACAGCCATGCCAAGGAGCCTGGTACCCAAAAACTAAAGAGACTAATTACAGCAGGACAGGAAAGCTAAGAAGCTTCCTGTAGTCACCAACAGGAAGAGTCTGGGCAGGCTGGTAAAGCAGAATGAAGGGTTGTGTAACAGTAGGCAATAAGCAGGCAAACAGCTAGACTCTAGAAGTCCAGAATTGGATGTCCTGGCAGG